TAATTTGTGATCAAGCTTATGTTTATTTACATATATTGAAGCTATGGATCAAGAATTATGTCTGATAGACAGCGCTACAACGCACACCATTTTGAGAAATAAAATATATTTTTCTCAAATGACTTTAGTTGAAGCTAAAGTCAATACAATATCAGGTGTTGCGAAGCTCATTGAAGGCTCTGGGAAAGCATATGTGATGCTCCCTAATGGGACAAAATTACTTATAAATGACGCTTTATACTCCAGCAAATCGCGGAGAAATTTATTAAGCTTTAAAGATATGCGTCAAAATGGTTATCACATAGAAACCATGAATGAAAACCAAAAGGAATATCTTTGTCTAACGACAACTAAATCTGGATCTAAATGTATTTGTGAAAAAATGCCAGCATATTCCTCAGGACTATATTTCACTCATATTAGTCCATTCGAAATAAATTTGGTTTCTAACACAAAGTTAGATGATCAGAAAACATTCATGTTGTGGCATGACCGTTTAGGTCACCCAGGCCAAGTAATGATGCATAAAATCATTAAGACTTCACTTGGACACCCATTAAAGAATATCAGGGTTCCATTATCAAGTGATTTTCCTTGTAAGGCCTGTTCTCTTGGCAAAATGATCATCAGGCCTTCTAAGACCAAAATTGCAACTGAATCACCTGCATTTTTAGAAAGGATTCAAGGAGATATTTGTGGGCCGATTGCCCCTCCATGTGGACCATTTCAATATTTTATGGTGTTGATTGATGCTTCAACACGTTGGTCACATGTTAGTCTTTTATCGACTAGAAATTTAGCATTTGCTAAACTCCTTGCTCAAATTATACGATTAAGAGCTCATTTTCCGGATCATTCTATAAAGAGAATCCGACTTGATAATGCAGGAGAATTTACATCCCAAACATTTAACGACTATTGTATGTCGATTGGGATTGATGTGGAGCACCCTGTTGCTCATGTCCATACACAAAATGGTCTTGCTGAATCTTTGATTAAACGATTACAATTAATCGCTAGACCATTATTAATGAAGTGTAATTTACCTTCATCAGCTTGGGGACATGTTATTTTGCATGCAGCAAATTTAATTCGGCTTAGACCGACTGCATATCACGAATATTCCCCAATGCAATTAGTTACTGGACAAGAGCCAAACTTAGCACACATAAAAATATTTGGTTGTGCTGTTTATGTTCCGATTGCTCCACCTCATCGTACAAAAATGGGTCCTCAAAGAAGGTTGGGAATTTATGTTGGATTTGAATCTCCCTCAATAATAAAATATGTTGAACCAATGACGGGTGACTTATTCACCGCACGGTTCGCTGACTGTCATTTCAATGAGACAGTATTCCCATTCTTAGGGGGAGAAACTAACAAATCGGACCCAAGTACGAAAGAAATAACATGGAATGCAACAGGATTATCACACCTTGATTCTAGATCAAATATATGTGAGCAAGAGGTGCAAAAGATAATTCATTTACAAAATGTTGCAAATCAGTTGCCTGATGCATTCACAGATACAAAGAAAGTGACAAAGTCACATATTCCTGCAATGAATGCCCCTGCCAGAATTGAAATTCCTGCGGAGAATTCTGAAAAATCTCTTGCAATTGATTCTTCTATACGCAAAAGGCGTGGCAGGCCACTTGGATCAAAAGATATAAAACCAAGAAAAACTAAAAGGCAGGAATTGATCTGTGATGCCAAAGATGTTCATCCTTCTGAACAAGAAAATGAACAATTTGAAAATACTGGCATAGAAAATGATATTGACAGAACAAACATCTCAAATAATGATCCAACTTCCTTAAATGAGGAAGATATTCCAGATACTGATAGAAACGTTGATAATTATGAAATTTCAATAAACTACGTTTCTACTGGAATGCAATGGAATCGAAAAGATATTGATATTAATGAGATATTTGTCTATGCCGTTGCCACAAATGTTATGAATGAAAACAATGACAATGAGCCAACATCAATTGAAGAATGTCGGAAACGACAAGATTGACCAAAATGGAATGAAGCTATTCAGGCTGAATTAAAATCACTTGAAAAACGTGATGTTTTTGGACCGATAGTCCCTACGCCAAAAGGCGTAAAACCTGTGGGTTTTAAATGGGTATTTGTGCGTAAACGCAATGAGAAAAATGAAATTGTTAGATATAAAGCCCGACTTGTTGCCCAAGGTTTTTCTCAAATGCCGGGAATCGATTATGAAGAAACCTATTCTCCAGTAGTTGATGCAACTACATTAAGGTTTCTCATTGGCATGTCTGTTTTTGAAAGGCTGCAAATGCGCCTAATGGATGTAGTGACCGCCTATCTATATGGTTCACTTGATACAGACATTTACATGAAAGTTCCCGGTGGATTTAAAATGCCTGAAGCTTATAGCTCGAAACCTCGAGACATATTTTCCATTAAATTACAAAAGTCATTGTATGGACTAAAACAATCTGGACGAATGTGGTATAATCGTATCAGTGAATACCTTCTCAAAGAAGGATATAAGAATGATCCAATTAGTCCATGTGTTTTCATTCGGCGATCAAATTCGGGATTCGCCATAATTGCAGTATATGTTGATGACTTAAACATTATTGGAACTCCCGATGAAATTGAAAATACTGTAAAATATCTTATGAAAGAATTTGAAATGAAAGATCTCGGGAGAACCAAATTTTGTCTCGGACTTCAAATTGAGCATTTGAAGAATGGAATTTTCATCCACCAATCCAATTACACCGAGAAAGTGTTGAAGAGATTCTATATGGACAAAGCTCATCCTTTGACTTCACCAATGGTCATTCGATCTCTCAACATACACGATGATCCATTCCGTCCACGAGAAGACGACGAAGATATACTCGGTCCCGAAGTACCATATCTGAGTGCTATCGGAGCTTTAATGTATTTAGCTAATAATACTAGACCAGATATTGCATTTTCTGTAAATTTATTAGCTAGGTACAGCTCATGTCCAACAAGGCGTCATTGGAACGGGATCAAACACATATTCCGTTATCTCCGTGGTACAGTTGATCTAGGCCTATTCTACCACAAAGATGCAACATCTTCTTTAATCGGGTATGCAGACGCCGGATACTTATCAGATCCTCAAAAGGCAAAATCACAAACCGGGTACGTATTTACTTATGGTAATACCGCAATCTCGTGGAGATCTATGAAACAGACGTTGACAGCTACATCATCAAATCATTCGGAGTTAATTGCAATATATGAAACCGGAAGAGAATGTGTATGGCTGCGATCTATGATTCAACACATCCAGAATGAATGCGGTATGAAGCCTATTACTGTTTACCCCACTGTGATCTATGAAGACAACACTGCGTGCATAGCTCAAATTAAAGAAGGCTACATCAAAGGAGACAGAACGAAACACATATCACCAAAATTTTTCTCTACTCACGACCTTGAGAAAGAAGGGACGATCAACGTTCAGCAAATCAGATCCAGTGAAAATCCAGCTGATCTCTTCACCAAATCTTTACCCCCGAAGAAGTTCGTTGAACTTGTACAGAAAATCGGAATGCGCAGCTGATGGAGTATATGGCCCAGGAACCCCCGGCCCATAGACTCCTACTTCTCCTACACAAGTCCACTGAGCCCAGAGAACATCTCAGGCCCAAATACAACGGCTCAAGCCTCAAAGTAGCCCAGAATACACACTGGGGTGCCTTCGGCCTCCTTGGCCGAAGGCTCCAAAACTCACAGGATAGCCTTCTCTGGCATAAGAAGCTGCTGGGAGGAAACGGGCGAAGACATGAGCCTTCGGCATTCTCATGCCCTCGGCATCAGGATAAGCCCTCGGCTGAACCAAGCCTTCGGCTACACATCGAGCCTTCGGCCATACATGAAGCCCTCGGCTACACAAGGAGCCCTCGACTGCACAAGTAGCCTTCAGCTGAGCTAGCTCAATCATCGAAGATTCTTTTTAGAGACAGCCAACCACCGCATTTAATGCCACGTCACATCCGCCAACCGCAATCAATGCGGTGGACGTACCACTGCCGGTGCCAACCGGCTGATGTGACCCTTCGGCCGTTGGATTACTGACACGTGTCCCCTCATCGCATTTATTGCTGCTATAAATAGCAGCCCATTTCTCCTTGTAAAACATGATCTACATCCCAACTCCGCATCTCGAGTTCATTTAATAAAATCGACTCTCTCTCCTCCTATTTGCTCTCACTTCTCTCTAAGTTATTCCCGCAATAACCCCTCGGATAAGATACCCCCCGGGTAGACTATCCATCAGCAGCCTTAATAATTTATGCTAAATTCAGGGGGAGTATTTGAATGCACTGCACTCTTTTTCCCTTCATCAGGTTTTTATCCCATTGGGTTTTTCCTGATAAGGTTTTTAACGAGACAGTACATCCAAATACAACGACATTATAAGTCATAATTTTTACCCCTTTAATTTCACACTAATTTTCACAATAAATTTGTAACATAACAAATACCTATTCAAGGATGAACATTCAAGGGGGAGTGTTGTAAAATGGCTAGAATGACATGTGTGAATTGTCCATCCTTGTAATCAGGACACCTAGCTAGTTCTCATCCTTACTCATCAAACACAAGTCCTTGTAATCACACACATGGCTAGATTCAATACTGCCAGCAAATAATGTAGAATCATTCCTAGATGATTCATCCCATGTCTGGCTAGTATAAATAGGGCTTGCTCAAACTCTTGTAAATCAATTCAGAAACTCAGAAATTTCAGAGATTAAGAAGAAGTTATTTAGAGGTTTTTATCTATATATCTATCTCTTAAATTTAGTATCCATCTTCTTCATTTCACAGCAATAATATTCTTTTCTTTTCTTTTGAAATATTCTTTTGAATCTATTATAGATGAGTCTCGAACCTACTGACTACTCTTTAGAATATCACCAATAATGCTATCAAACTAAAACTACTTCCCCTAAATTTATCCCTTATTCCAATAACGGCCAATTTCCAAAAGATTCAGAAACATAACCAAAAGGCAGAGCTGCTGTACCAAACTTCATAAAAACGGAAAAATAAAAAATTTAGCTGAAGGTGCGGCTAGTTTGTAACATGAATCCAGTATAGTATATTGATTTCAGAAGTAAAGATGAGAACTAGGAGTTAGATTAGCTCCAAAAGCAAGGACTCATTCTTTATCCCTCTCGAAGCCCTGAAATCGATGCTTTGAATTCATATTCCTTCAGCATAATGCAAGAGCAGAGCTTTCTCAGATGGAAGGATTATAATACTTGATACTCTCCCATCATCTCTGGAGTTCGATCATCATCAATTCATGAAAGTCTCTGTTTCTTTTACGGCGGGTCACAAGAATTCGTGATTCTTGCCGACCATTTCTTAAAATGAAATCGCACTAATCAGAAAGTGAGCAATTACATGGCCGCAGGTTGTTTCACTTTCAATCCATTTCGAGCGAAAAGGCTCGAGAGAAAATCACTATTGCCATCCGGTTCATCTCCGGAGACAGAAGAAACTGCGGAAGAGGAGAAGGAGAAAAGATTTGACAGTTTGAAATCATGGTCCGTGCTTTTGGAATCAGATGAGGCCGTTGAAGAAACGCCTCAGGCGGCGGAATGGACGGCGGCGGATCTGTCTCAGCTGGTTATAGGGAACAAGTTTGCCGCAGGTGCACATAGCAGGATTTACAGAGGAATTTATAAGGAGAGAGCTGTGGCAGTGAAAATAGTGAGAATTGTGGGTCAAAAGGAGACTAGAACCAGGCTTGAAAATCAATTCCATTCAGAAGTAGCTCTTCTTTCTCGCCTCTACCATCCCAACATTGTCCAGGTTAGTTCCTTGGAGACTCATTAATCAATGCATCTTTCCTTTTATTCAAAGTTTCTTTGAGCTTTTTTCCCAAGTGCTTCATATGATAATTAGTGACTTAGCAATTCAAACAGAGCTCGTTTTGTAACATTGAAATTGGCTAAATTGGTTGAATACGTTGAAATTTATGAAATTTTGGCTGCAATGATTGAATGGGCTGAAGCAACAAAATTATGAAAATATTATATTTAAAATATATTTATTTAATAAAATTATGAAAAATGAAAACCCAATTAAAATGATCATATACCTAACATCAACTACTTCAATCGCAATAGTAACTCCACCTTAGTTATTACACAATTCAACGTGTGGAGAAAAAAACTACCTGCTTGATAAAAAAGATAGCTAATGAGGCCGGTAAGCTGAAAATAGATGTACCAAACGGGCTCTTAAAACAATTTAAGGAAAACATTTACTTGTAGCAAACAGAAGAAAAACATTTTCTTATAGTAGTTACTTGTTGCCTTTACGGGCAGTTCATTGCAGCGTGTAAAAAACCACGTGTGTACTGCATTATCACAGAGTACATGTCACAAGGAACGCTTAGGATGTACCTTAACAACAAGGAGCCATACTCACTTCCAATAGATACCATTCTGAGGCTAGCTCTTGACATATCTAGGGGAATGGCATACCTTCACTCTCAAGGCGTGATTCACAGGGATCTTAAATCAAGCAATTTACTCCTCAATGATGATATGCATGTTAAGGTTGCAGATTTCGGGAACTCATGCCTCGAGAGGCAATGCCACAAGGCCACAGGGAATGTGGGGACTTATCGGTGGATGGCCCCCGAGATGATCAAGGGAAAGCCGTATACCCATAAAATTGATGTTTATAGTTTTGGCATTGTATTGTGGGAACTTACTACTTCTCTTGTGCCTTTCCAAGGAATGACTCCGGTGCAAGCTGCCTTTGCGGTTTCTCAAAAGGTTAGATTCCAAAACTTCGAGCTGAATATATAAACTTCTAAAATCAAACTTCAATTCTTTGTATGTGTGAGTTGTGATATATCTGTTTCTACCATTATGTTCTTGAAACCATAATCTTGACACCATTTGAGAGAGATGAGTGAAGTTGTAGCTATGTGGCTAGGTGCTCGCCTGCTTCAGTGTAACTATAAGAAAAAAGTAGGGGGTTGTACTTATAACTACTTTTCACTTTATCAATAACAGTTAGACCTAAATAACTCATTGTTTTTAACCAAATAGTCTAACTTCTAGTTTTTCAAGCACAGCTGACTTTTAAAACTAACCAGTTTCTCTTTAATCTCTAAAATACACCATTTCTTGCAAATACAAATACTAATTAGTGCATTAATTAGCCCCATGGTATCAAAGACACTTGATCTGAAGTTGAGCTATTCGTATGTTATTTTATCTCCTGGTTGTTGTTGCAGAATGAGAGACCGTCATTGCCTGAAACTTGCCAACCAGCATTAGTGCACCTTATAGAGCGCTGCTGGGTACTCAATCCTTCAAAACGGCCAACTTTTAGTTACATAGTTTCTGCACTGGAGAGATATGACAAGTGTGTCAAAGAAGGCCTCCCACTTGCTCTCCACTACCCAGGGCTAGGAAGCAGAAAATCCATTATTGGATGCTTCAAAGGCTGCATATCCATCAAACCATCTACACATATACATTCTGATTGTTTTTTACAATTAAAAATTAATGATCACAAGTAGGTTATATATACATACATGTATACATGCTCCACCTTTCTCTCTACTACATTTAGAAGCTGTTCCGTTCACCTGATCTGAATGTTTCTGATCTGAATTTTTTAAGTTCTGATCTGATCTGATCTGAATTTTTCTGATCTGATCTGATTTGATCTGAATTTTTCTGATCTGATCTGATCTTATCTGAATCTTTCTGATCTGATCTGAATCTTTCTGATCTGATCTGAACGTTGTTGAACTGATCTGAATGTTGCTGATCTGATCTGATCTGAATGTTTCTGATCTGATCTGAATGTTTCTGATTTGATCTGAATTCTTCTGATCTGAATCTTTCTGATCTGATTTGAATATTTCTATAATTGTAATTCTAATTATAATTATTAGATTTATAATTGTAATTAAAAATATAACTTAAATAAAATTACAATTATAATCATAATTATAAAAAAATAATAATTAAAATTACAATTATAATCATAATTATAAAAAAATAATAATTAAAATTAAATTTAAAATTATAATAATTATACCAATTACACTAATTATAAATATAGACAAAATTATAAATGTAATTATATTTTTAATTATGATTAATTTTATAATTATTATTTTTGTAATTATAATTATAATATTTATCTCTATAATCATAATTATATCTATAATTACTAATTTAAATATATAATTACTCCGAAGTAATAATAATTACAAAAATAACAACAAGAACAACAATCATATTAATAATAATGATGATTATAATTATAATTACATTGTAAATCATAATTATAATTATAAATATATTATATTATATTATATTATATTATATTATATTATATTATATTATATTATATTATATTATATTATATTATATTATATTATATTATATTATATTATATTATATTATATTATATTATATTATATTATATTATATTATATTATATTATATTATATTATATTATATTATATTATATTATATTATATTATATTATATTATATTATATTATATTATATTATATTATATTATATTATATTATATTATATTATTATAATATAATAATAATTTTATATTATTAACATTATTATTATATTATTATTAATAATATTATTATATTAATATATTAATATTATTAACAATAACTATAATATAATAATCATAATTAATATAATAATAAAAGTGATAAATCATGTTTGATTTTTTTGATCTGATCTGATCTGAATGTTTCTGATCTGATCTGAATGTTTCTGATCTGGTCTGATCTGGTCTGAATCTTTCTGATCTGATCTGAATGTTGCTGATCTGATCTGAATCTTACTGATCTGATCTGAATGTTTCTGATCTGATCTGATCTGAATCTTTCTGATCTGATCTGATCTGATCTGAATCTTTCTGATCTGATCTGATCTGATCTGAATAAAATAAGATTAAGGAATAAGTAATAAGATTAAGACGAACGGAACAGCTTCTTAATGTTAACTTTCATAAACAACTCCTAATCACAATATTTTCAAATCTAACACATCATCTGGTGCGTTTTCCTAAAATATTACACCAATTTATTCATAGATGACTAAAGTTACTATGAATGTAAATCTATGGCCATAGTTCATAGTGTAAACTTGTCCATAATCATAGTAACTAGAAGTTACTAATATGATCACTACATATAAAAGATCATACTTTTGTCTAGTGTATTTATTTTAATAAGGAAAATTGCTTTAAATAGGAGTAAAAAACTTTGGAAATTCCAAAATAGGGTCACTATGTTTTTCTTCCCGAAATAAGAGTCATTACTGTCATGATTGAAAACTACTGTCATTAATTATAATAAATACTGACATGTTGAATGCATAGTAGTGCAACTATTTGACAATCATGACTAATAGATGACACTAAATACTGACGTCTTAGTCCTATTTCGGAAAGAAAAACATAATAGTCCTATTTTGGAATTGCAAACTCTATTTAGTCCTATTTTGGAAAATCTCCCTTTTAATAATATATACTCTGTATGTCATTATTTCTTGATTTAAATGTAAAATAAACTCTTTCTTTGTGGCACAAAAATTGGTTAAATTTGACTTGTACGTAAATTAATAAATTGAAAACTATGTTGTTGTGAGTTGTGCATAGGAGAGAGAAGTAACTTCAACCTCATGTTTTTACTTGAAAAGGATGTCCAGTTATAAACTTCTATTAATTCGAACTATTGTCTATCCAATATTACTTCCAACAAAATAAATCAATGTTTTAAAGTCGAGAACACATAAAGACAACTTTCAGACAAAAATTACAGATCCAATCGTGAACCCTAGGAGTAGATTTAGAATCAGCACCTCATACAAAGTGTGAAAGCAACATTACTCGATAAACCTGAAACGGACAAATTTAGGTCTAAAACGATCAGAACTGAAACCGTAATTTACTCGGACTAAAACACAAACAAGTGCTACTAAAGAGAAAATAATATTGAAATAAAAGTTTTCCACAAAGCTCTTCCCGATATGGAGGTGGTTCTGGAGGAGGACGATCACTTACAATATGGGTGAATACCAACTCCACCACCGTTGGAATGGCCGACCAATGCTTCACGATCCATTCTCGATACAACCTCTAAGCCGCACCTCGTTCACCTGCCAACACTATCTCCTCCAGGGTAGTTGAAATCTCAAACGTTAGAACACTAAAAATCGGTATAATCTGCCGCTCCAACCTCATATTAATAGGGGCGGCTGAAAATCTCAACCCTACAAAGATGGGAGACGGCCGCTGGGTTTTCTCTCTCTACAGAGAAGAGAGAACTAAGTTAGACCTCGTTCAATTTTTTTAATAGACCAAAATATAATACTCTCTTCCTATTTAAAAGTTTGCTACACTTTTTAAAATTTTGATACACTTTTCCTTTTTGGTACTCCCTCTAACCCTTAAAATTTGTCATTTTTTCTTTTTTAGTTGTTCCCTTTGTACTCCAATTTCGATTAAGATCTCATCTCAAATCACTAAATAAAATAAATATATTTATTGTTTACCGACTTACCGTTGTAGTGCACTACTTTGTCGTTGCATTTTTCAGGGTTTTGGAACTTTGCCGTTGTATTGCATTACCTTACGGTTGCATTTTTAATTAATTTAGTATATCAATTAACAATAAATTAAATATACTTAATAGTTACCATTTTAGTTCAAATTTGTCTACTAGCAAGTAACTTGTTTTGGCTAATTTGCTTGTAAGACTAGAAAGAAAGATGCACTCTAATGATAGACTAATAGCTTCAAATTTCACACAAGTCTCTAGAAGTAATCATTTAAGATACTCTTATTCATCCTCACCAGAAAGGCCGAAAGAAGATCAACATGACCCCCCATTATTGCACCTTCGGATTGGTGACAATGTGTAGCAAACAAAATGTTGCAATTGAATCATTTTTTTAGGGAAAATAACTTTAAATAATACTCCCTCCGTCCCAGGGAGAAGTTCCCGGGTTGACTTTCACACATATTTAGGAAATAAAGTTACTGAGGGGTAAATTTTACTGTTTGGCACTGTTTCAACACTGTTTGGCACTGTTTGGACACTGTTTGACACTGTTTTGCACTGTTTGACACTGTTTTGATGTAGGATAACTTTCCATTTAGGGAAATGGGAACTTTTTGTTGGGACTACCAAAAAAGGAAAGTGGGAACTTCTCCCTGGGACGGAGGGAGTACCAACTATCTTCAATGAACCAATAATAATACATACTTTAGAAATAACTTTTAATAATACCAACTATCTGAATGTGAACCAAAAATAAAATAGAGACACTTTTCTATAAAAAATTCAGCCATTTAATACATCAAATACTAAGATCAAATCATCAAATATCATCAAATAATTGATATTTGAAAATAAAGTCACTTATTTGATATTTTGATATTAGTTTTTGATGAATTGAATAAATGATTTTTTAGTGAAAATTTGCTATATATCACTTTTGATAGATATTCAACTATATTATTAAAAGTTATTTCTAAAGTTGGTATTATTCTTGGTTCATGGAAGATAGTTGGTATTATTTAAAGTTATTTTCCCATTTTTTTATGATTTGAATTATTTAAATGAGAATTAAATATAATATAGTGGTTTAAACCAATCAAATGAATGATAGATACAGTATCATGTTTTTAATGGATTATTATTTAAATATATCTCCAACTATCATCAAATTTATAAATTTATCTCATATTTTAACTTATATTAAAAAAATACTCAAACTTTAACTTTTCTCACAATTACACTTTGAATGGATGAATTAGTAAAACTTAAGAATAAAATCATATTTATATGCCATATTTTTTTTCACTTCTTTCTTGTTTTAAATTTACAAACTTGCATTGCTTATATCTTATTACTGTTATTAGTATTAACAAAAATGTATAATTTTGAAAAAACAAAAAAGAAAAGCATAATTGTTGAAAAAGATGAAGTTTGAGTCTTCTTTTTTTTTTTTATAAAAATAAAAGAATAAGATAGATTTGTGAATTAGAAGATAGTTTGAGATAAATGAACTATATTAATCCTTTTTAATTAGGTATCGTCGTTCTCACCTTATTTTAATTATGGAGTAAATAGTTACACGGTTCGTATTTTTGCTAATACTTCCTAATATTTTTCATATGATATACTACCCCAGTTTCATAAAACATAACCAAAATTAACTTTTCCGTAGAATATTAACATGAAAATTGTGTAGTTGAGATTTGTACACACAAAAAATAAACAACATTAGTAACACATCAGTGTATCATGTGAAAGATAATAAAAAACTAAATTAATATTCGAAAGATAATAAAAAAATTAAACCGAGAGAATTGAATAAAAAAATACTCCGTGAGACAAATCGTCTCGAATAACTAGTAAGTCCGGGCAAAATTAACGAAGGTATGTGCATGCGTACTATTACTTTGATTATTGCCTTTGCATTTTCACGACCCTTGCTAGTTCAAGGGAAGCTTGAATCACTGCTCGCCGCTAAGAGAGGATGTTCATGGGGTGAAGCGCGGCCCAAATTTTCTTTCTTTTTATTTATATTCGGTATAGATTTAACAAAAAAATGATGTTCTTTTGTAATTGTAGTCTACTATTACAAAAAAATTAATGTTTTGTGATTTATGTTTTGTATCACTATATGTCAAATTAATGTTTTGTGATTGATGTTTTGTATCACTATAGTTTATCAAAAATTAATTGTACTACAATAAGAATTTTTGGAGGTGGCTAAATTTTAATTTTCCGAAAAAAGTGACATTGTTTTGTATTGGTACGACATCATATTGTCTCGTTTGAAAATGGAACTATACCAAACGTGTTTATACCCAAGACCGAATCAAACCGTTTCAATAGTTACGATACGAGCACGGGTTCGACAAAATATTGGATCGGAATGGACCCACCCCTACGAATAAGGAGACATGTAGAAAAGTTTCCTGGATAAGAAAGGAATGACATGGCCGTCCATCCGTTCGATAGAGCGTACATTCCTAATCCGTCCGTACTGTCATCATCTATCCCATTTCTTCTTCACTTTCCCAGTGACCGTGTCTTTCAAATTTAGGTCAAAGCCATGGCCGGAGGAAATTCAACAGCCTGCCAATCCCCAGTGAAATTCTGCTATACACCCTTTTCATATTCATTCATTAATTCAACAAAATTTCTCCAGCAATTCCCACTAGTTCATTCAAAACAGAGCAGCAGCGTCTTTTACAATGTCAGTTTACAGAAAGACCCCAAATCAGGGGAGAAAAAGCACTTCACATTTTACAGTTTACACTACTCAAATGAAGAAGAAGAAACCCAGAATTCAAAAAATCTACGTACTGGATGAAGGTAAAAAAAATGACTAATTAATGAGTAACAAAGAAACGAGGTTCCCAAGACAGTCTGGTGTCCGCCACTTCGGCAGCCGGAGCTCCGCCGTTGTGTGAGATTAACCAAACTAGCCTTTCCTTAAACTAAAAATACTCAGACACTTTTCTCCCACGAATGCCATTACCCTCCTCAACGCCCCTTTCTGCTCAGCGCGCCCATCTTCGCCGCCTCCACCATCGCCGGCGGAGCCGAGTCTCTCCTCTGTAGGGCCTGCCTCGCCGGAATCCTCCCCATTCGTAATCACCTCAGAATTTCTTGGGTTTCCCCCCGAAGAACTACTAGAATCTTTACTGCCGCCCTTCTTCATTCCTCCCGTGTTCTTCTCCTTCTTGATCTGTAAGTCGTCCTCATAAGCGTCAATGGCTTGATGAATGAGATGACGGTTGGGAGAAGAGTCCCACCTTGCCCAGTAGCTCATGTAGCAGTTGAAGCAGTGGCAGTCGAAAGAGGGAGGGTGGTCTGCGCCACCGTCTGCGGCGGCGGTTGTCCTGTTATTGTTCCCGGAAGGGCGAGAGATGATATAGGCGAGGGCTTCTTGCTCATCATCGGAGAGGGCCCCTGCCATAGAGATAACTGAATCTGGCAAGAATGCGAGCTTATCCGTCAGTGGCGGGGTGGGATGAACAGTGGTTTTGCTGTGGGGCTTCTTCCTCTTCATCTTCATGATATGGCAGAGGGAATAAGGAAAGTGAGTGAGGAGACCGAAGATACCAAAAGGGGGGATGGAAGTTTTTTTAGGGTTTGGGAGGATTTGAGCCTTTGAGGTGGTGTGGGGACAGAAAATGGATTGACAATAACACATCACATATATAAATGTGACGTGGAATCATTTAAATATATCCGCAACACATTTATTTAAAAAAAGATGACATCCCATTTCTGCGGGCCCCCCAACACCGATCGGACGGCATGATAGTAGGATGTAAATTGGACTATAGTCACAATCTGACAGATAGAGAGTGATGCTCTGTCCCTGGTACTTGCAGAAGCCCTATGCATTTTTCAGCATAGTAACCCCTCATCGCAGTTGTCGGGATTCCAACTCGAGACCTAACCCTTGTGACACTCCCTCGCTATCAGTTGAGCTACGCATACTGGTCGCCTCACATTTATACATGTGATGTGTTGCTGTCAACTTCTGATATAAGGAAAGAAAGGGAAGGCAAGGATCGGTGATACTGTAGTAGTGCAGTACGAGTATAAGGAGAGAAATGAAGTGAACCTGAATGGTGTAGATCCTTTTAAATTGAACTATAATGATTGATTTGTATTTCTATCAAAGTTTTGCCAGAGATATCTCATTTGGTACCTCATTTGTACCCCATCATATATTTGTGATTCACAAAAGCCCAACATATTAAATGAATGACTCCATTTTAATGAAGTGTTTTTGTGAACCACAAATATTGGGAGAATGTATAAAATTGGGTACAAATTGGGGTAACAATAGCATTTGTGTTCATATTAAGTTCATAGAAATCTACAAGTAATTTCTTTTTCCGGCACAATCTACAAGTAATTTATAAGAACCAAAATAATACTACTCCGTATTAAATATTAAGATTTTTAAAAAAAATTTAAAAAATTTTAATATTTAATACAACCTTCGTCCCAAAAAATACTTTCCAGTTTGAAGTGACATACTTATTAAGAAAGTGAGAATAAAATGAAAATATATGATTGTGGTTGAGTAAAAAATTAATAAACAAAAAAACATTCACTACAAGAACAATCTGTTAAATAATTATCAAGGTTATCAACTCTATTAACAAAACTAAAAGGGAAAACTGTCAAATAGGTCCTCGAACTTTCATAAAAAAGTCAATTAAGTCCTTTTATAGGAGATTTTGTCTAGTCGTCGCGATTTGGGGAGGTTCCCGGTAGAATTTTTTGATGAAATTTTTTGAGCATCTTATTCATCAAGTCTAGTTTACTCATACCAAATTTCAGCTAAAAATTTAATCAAAGGTTTTTCAAAATAGGGTGCAAAGTCCAATATCACCCAAAAACAACTACTTTTATAACTTAAAATGAATTGTTTTAACATTCAATGATAGAAGCTTTACAGAACCTTCGTCCAATTGGCTATTATAGAAATTCAAATGAGATTAATACTGACAGGAGAGGTAACCAGTGGAAATAGTAAAAAAAATCAAGGGTAATCAATTGACTTGTATAAATACATAGGTTAACTAGTATTTATGACCCAACTTAAAGGAGCGAGACTCATTTTCTCTTGCTTTGATGTGCAGTTAAGGCATTGTGGGGGTTCACCAGGCGAATTATAGTTGAACAAGGGCGAGATGATTGTGAAATGAGCAGTAGAAAATTAGACATTTCATGACTAGACTTGGACCCGGTTCGGGCCGCCCGGCCCGGGCCCAGCCCGGCCCGCCACTGTGCGGGCCCGGAACCGGCCCAGTTCTTGGGTCCGGGTCGGGCCTAGGCCCGGTGGGGGGGCGGGTCCGGGCTCGGGCCCTGTATTTGGCGAACCGGCCCGGCCGGGTCAGGCCCGGGCCCGGGTCAAAAAACTGTTTTTTTTTTTTTCATTTTTTTGGGCTTTATTGAGTTGGGCTTGATGTTTAGGACCGGTTTGGGGGGTTTGGGGGGGTGGGGGGTGAGGGGGGGGGGGGAAGAAAAAAAAAAAAAAAAAACTAACTAGGTGGCCCGGCCCGGTCCGGCCCGGAACCGGTGGCCACCGGTTCGGGCTCGGGCCCAACAAAACAGACCCGAGGCCCGGCCGGGCCTAGGCCCGAACCGGGCCCGAACCGGCCCGGGGCCATCCCTATTCATGACAAATGGGTAAACTAAGTTGGAATTTCAAATGAATTCCAAAAAATAGTTCAACAAATGAATCCAACATTGATAAATATGCTAACATTCATAGAGATTTCAGCAGAGTACAAAGATTAAATCAAACCAAGTACAATATGAAGAATATAATAATCGCCTATAATAAAGTTGTCCCGCCAGACTTACAGTTCAGGAATTTAAAAAAAAAGACACTTAGTTGATTGAGTAAAGAAATTGTATTTCTACCTCTCAGTGCACTATACAAATTAGAATATCCTTGACATTAAGCATAAATGGCTTCGGCTAACAGAATTGGGGCAGCCTGGGGTATAATGGTACAAGACCAAAGAGGAGCCACAATTTGACTATTAATGAGTAGTCTGTGGAAAGACCATCACAAACCTTCTGTCTGGTTAGTTTTCAAGTCAGTATCATCTTCTGCATCCTGTGCATTCAAATCCAAACTCAACCCAAACGCGCTTTCATTCAGATCTTTTTGTTCTGAATCCTCCTGTATCCCATTTATAAAATCCATTACCATTTTTCAGGATTGATATGGAATCCTTCAACTCTGTTTTGCTTTATATTTGTGTCCAAGTGACAGAAGTCACAGAACAATGCTTATGATGATCTTTAGCAAAGATAAAGCGACAAACAGAGATAAAATCATTACTGGGTGATGTGTATATTACAATGCATTTAGAACTTTTTTAAGGGTATGTTTGTAACCCCAAAAAATTGCAAGAAAACAGAAAGGAAAACAGGAAAAAGCTCTTATGCCATATAGTACCGTCCATGATTGATTTAGCTCTTATGCGTGCATGAGAAAGTTACCCCAACTCAGGAAAAGGAGTCAGATTGGAAGCAAAGAAACCTTGAGGAAAATAAAACAACATTCAAACAACATTTTTCATTGCATTTTCCAAGATAGTCATTTATAAGAAAATAACTTGGCATATGTTTTCCTTTCCCAGTCATTTTCCAGGATCCAAAAGGCCCTAAGGTGATACAATTTTAACGAATAATAGATTCACAAATCATTTGCTTAATACAGAAAGATTCATTGGTTCTAATCCATTAATACATTTTTCCAATTGATGAACCATATATATTTTCCTTTAACCACACACCCTAACCAACGGACGTTTCAACAAGCAGTCACATTACAAATAATTTGAAACCAGTGCAAAGTTGAAATTGATAAAAATAGAGTGATATGAAAGTGCAGGATAACATATTGGGGATTAGTGCAGAATAACATGACACAAATATGAAAAAGAATCACATTGTTTAGCTCAAACAAAAAGCCACTTATTTAACCTTTATATTGCTTTATTCCTTTTCTTTTAAGGAATTAAATATTGGGAAAATGGGATGGATTTGCTTATGTACCTGGCTTTCCTCAACTGGGGCATCGTTGATATCTGGGTTTTCCTCCAAACCATCAGCACCAGTGGTTTTATGCGCATCTGTTTCACTTTCAATTGGATTGGTTTCATCATCAGCAATTTCTATGGACTCGTTCTTTTGTTCTTCTAGTAAGGCAACCTTTGCAAATAATTTACCAAGACAAATTAGTGCACAAAGAAACGCACAACCAATTAGCATAAAAAGGTATAACAAATTTAAGCATTTACAACAGTAACCAAACAAAATGAAAACATTCCATCAAAGTTTTAATGAATTGAATAACTAAACAAAATGGCTAGAATAAGTTCATTTGAGATTAAAATTTGTTACTTGGCATTCTCATAGTAAAACAGTGGAATTGTGGAACCCCAGCCATCATAACCTATAAACCTATGTTATACAGCTTTGACCCCATAACCAATTTTGTTGCCAAGAAAATGAAGTGCACACCAAAACTTTGAATTGACTTGTATGAAAGGCAAGGACTAAGATTTATGAAATAAAGATCAAATCACATATTTACTGGACATAATTAGAAGGGCAAAACAACTTATGTGAATCACAACATTTCGTTGCCTATCATGATTCAAGACCGCTGTATGGATCACTCAGCTCTGAAATGGCAGCACTGCTTAAAAAATATCATCTTTCAATGCATAAATAATCCATCACATCACTGATTCTCGAAATCGAAATGTGTTTTAATTCTTGCTCAACAAAATAGCAATTCCAATTCAGAACTCAAGCAATAATTACATATTTCCTAGGTCTTTAGTTGGTTGCTCTCAACTTGCTCCTAGAGGTTTCTTCCCACAACTTTTAATAAATGGAGTTTAAGGCTATTGAATAGTTTATAAAGAGTGATTAAAGTAAAATAAGTTGAAAAAAATAGCCGCACCAAGAAACTAGAACACTTATTAAAAGGTGAGGAGTATAGTAGTATACGACAAGCAATCAGATCAAAATTTCAATTTAAAAAACACTAGCCGTAACCCCAATATCTTTTGGGACTAAGGCTTGGATGTTGTTGTTGTTGTAAAAAACACTAGCCATAGCCCAGCTCCCTCCTAAATCTAGCCACATTACATTCTACCATTAAGACAATCCCCAGCTCAAGATATTATTTTCCCCAAAACCAAAACAAATAAAGGCTTCAAAGAATCGAAGATCTCAATATACAACACGTGTTATGGACACCACAACCCTCCAAGCAAATGCGGTCCCAAAACCAAATTGAATTCGCAGAAATTTACCGGGATATACTTAAATCTACGCTTAGGCTGCTCCTCATCAACTGGGTCGTGTTTCACAGAGCTATCAGAGTTTCCATTCTCATCGGCGGCGCCACTGCCGGTGATGTTGGTGTTGTTCTGGCTCGGAGTGATGGGCGTCCACTTGAGAAGCGAAAGACGAGAGCCGTTAATTTCATTGATTTCGCTGTTTGCAGCTGCTCGGTTATGGACGGCGTTGCTGTTGTTGGCAGAGCTCCGCGGGGCCACGCGGACCCACTTCTTCCT